TTTTATATATACCCTATGTGTGCTCTATATATACTATTTGATTAATATAATTTATAACTTGTTATGTTGTATTATATACGACATAGTATCTCTTCGGAGATATTTTCTTATGCATACGCGTTTGACAAGACGACAAATTAAATTTCGATAAATTAAAGACAACACATTAAATTATTAAGACGAGACTCCAACCGAAATGTTTCGATTTCCCACTAAATAACTAAACCGAGATTCGAACCGATGTGTTTTGTGTTTCCGCTAATTTATTAAGTCGAGTTAGTTAAATCTTACCTTACCTGGGATAATTTTTTAAAGTTGCTTAAAGAAATTTTCGCATTTGCAAAGGTGTGTTATCGAAAATGACGTTAGGTTTGCTTATTTCGTTCTGCATAATCTCCTAAATGACAATGTGTGTTAATGTCACTTTGCTTCCTCAGTAACACGCCCATGGTGTTGAAAATAATTTTCCAATATCCAAAAGTCGTGTTCTTAATGTTGCGTCTACTATATCTCATCATATCTCACTAATTTTCCTGGTAAATTATTTAGCGGAGATTCGAACCGATGTGTTTGGAATCTCCGCTAAACTATTGAGCCAAAATTCGAACCGAGTTGTTTGGTCTCCAGTATTATTCATATTATTATAAATTATTAGTTCCAATAAGATGAATTGTGGGATAGATAGTGCCCTTTTTCATTTATCTTGATATCTTTAGTGGTTGCCGAAAAATGCGCGAAAAATGCAGTCGGTAGTAAAATGCCTGTCAGCAACGTCGAAAAGTACGCACTCTTTCACGGCTTATTTTACGAACCGTTATTGATAGTATTATTATAATATTAGTATTATTATTATTATTCTAAACTCTGAATTCCAACAGGATAATTGTGGAGAATATAGTTTTCTTTGAATCACATCGATATCTTTTGTGCTAAGAAATAAACATAAAATATGAGCGGCATGTTTAAGCTTGTATATTTACTTATTGTTTTATATTGTCCAGTTTCCAAATCCTTTTTTTAAAAAATTACGCAGAACGCAGCGCGAGAAAGACGAGACTGATGAGAGATAATCTTGCTTTGGCATGAACCAGGCGCATTTTATCGTTACCACCACGAAAATACTTCTAACGAACGTAGTGAAAGGCGCATTTTGTTAGGTGGCGTCTCGAAAATGCGTCTAGCTCTGGCCACTAAAATTAAGCTGGTGGCCTTTCTCTAGTTGTATATAACGAGTTTTCTCGCGTCAGCGCTAGATAAAACAGGTTTGTTTGGAGAAATCCCGGCTTAATAGTTTCGCTGAGGCTTCAAATACCTCGGTTCACATCCCGGCTCAATTGTTTACCGGAGACTCAAAATACGTCGGTTTGAATCCTGATTTAATGATTCAGCGGAAACTCAAAACACTTCAGTTCAAATCCCGGCTTAATAGTTTAGCGGAGACTCGAAACCCATCGGTTCGAATCCTGGTTTAATAGTTTAATGGAGACTCGTAACACTTCGGTCGAGTTCCCGCTAAATTACCCGACCCTGGTGTATGGTAATGGTAACACAGGTTGGCCAGAAAATAGTTTCCGCGTATTCTGCTAGATGTCACTACCATTAAGAAAATCAATGAAAGTTGAGAAATCGATAATAAAAATTTCACTCTCACGCGATATTCGTCATGTCATTTATTTATAATATGAATCTATTTATTTATAAATGACCTGACGAATATCGCGTGAGAGTGAAATTTTTCTTGTCGATTTCTCAATTTTGATTTTTTTAATGGTAGTGACATCTAGCAGGATACGCGGAAACTATTTTCTGGCCGACCTGTGTTACGCTCTGTGCACAATGCCAGACAACAGGCAGTAGGAATAGACATTAGGCAATAGGAACAGGGAATATAAATAATTGACCAATCCGAATTCCTATTCCTTGTTCCTATTGCTTGTTGCCTGGCATTGTGCATAGAGCGTTACCATACTATACACCTAGGTCGAATCTAAAGTTTTTATTTATTCTGTATTGATATGAAAGCATCACAAATCTCAATATACAATTTATCGAATAAAAATTCTAATTATTAATATAGAAATATGAAGAAAAAGAGAGATGAAAAGAATAAAGGAAAAACACTTTCAAGTTTCGTTATTATTCATAAACTGTTCTTAACTGAACTTGCTTGCACTTTTTGCCGACGATATTTATCGACGAATGCACGACACATCGTTAAGTACATGACAATTCGGCCGGATTACGATGCAGATTGTTCATTTTCATACGGGATAAAACAATTATGAGAATAACGTTGCCACCAATTTGTATTACACATACGGCAAACAATGCAAGTAAACGCCCACTTCACTCCGACATGTTTGCCTTTAATTAATTCATTTAATAATGCAAGTCGCGATATTCATCGCGATAAAATAATGCGATACAACGCGAATGTTACATGATCCCGAAATGAATCACGTGTTAAACATAACAATGATTAAATCGAAAATAAAATTAACAAAGTTGGTCGTTAATGCGCTCGTCCTGTCTAAATAATGACGCGCCATGTATTATCCGAAATATAATTTATATGAAATACCTCCCAAATTGTACACAAAAAGATACAACTAATTGCGTTTACGAGCTGTGATTATAAGCTGAGATTATGTGGAGTGACATGTTCACGATCCTTGAATTTTCGCACCGCGAATAACTTCTGAGAACGATCGATCGCAAGTAGCTCCAACACAATAGATCTGTTCTTTATTGAGGTACTTTTTAAACTATATTGTAATCTTCTTCTCTCTTCTATCAAGTGTCAGATAAATATTGAGTTGACAGGTCTTGATCCGTGACATGTTTCTAAACCGCTGTGATTCTAAACTGAAAGATCAATCCACAAATAATAAGTCGTGCCAATATGAGACCTTCGACACTTTGAGTACAAACAGCGCAATTAGTGCAATTAGGAAGAATCTACTTGATAATCGAAACGTGCGATTGCATCTTTTCATGTTTAGTCTGACATTTCAGGTATTGAGATTGTTTCGAGTGATTTGCGTTGAATTGCGCGATTCTCAATAAATAAATAAATTGCAAATAATTCTGCTTAAAAAATGATAGAAAATGCTGGTTCTTCTCTTCAATGATGATTTTTATCGTTCTTCTTGCGGATAGCACACTTAAGAAATTTTTTAAATGAATTGTAGATTATATTATGTATAATATAATGTTATATTTAATATTAAATATGTTATATGTTATATACATTAAATATGTTATATTTAATGTATTATAGATTATCGTATTCTTTGAAAATATCTCTTAAATGCGTTTTGCAAAAAATGGGATGCAAAATAAAACAATAAAATAAAACAGGGAAGCCAATCATAGACCGGTATCTGTAGTTAAGTTTTATGTTTAAGGTTCCGATTTCACCAAAGTCAATCAAGCTTTAAACCGCGTTTAAACTATTTGAAACAAAGACTTAAACTCAGATCAAGACCCAATCGACGTTGGTGAAATCGGGCCTAAGATCTATCAAGCCGATTAAGCCTATCTATTAGGACCTATTAAATTCATCTTCAGATGCTATACGGATCATTTCATTGACTATGGAGTATCTGAAAGTGAAGACTATAAGTACCCAGACAGCACAATGTCTAAAAGTGGGACATAAGACGTCTTTAAGACGTCTTTAAGTTGTCTTTAAAACAAGTTTATAAAGTATTGTCTTAAAGATGTCTTAAAGTTGCCTTAAAGACGTCTTATGACTCGATTTTGGACATTTGTGTCGTCTGGGTACTCTATAGCTCCGCGTGCTCCGTAGCGCTGCGTCGGGAGTATTGGTAACTTCAGAAATCTCAATCTCTGCGCTACGAAATGCATCATGGATCGGCGGAATTCGCGTAGTCGCCTGTAACGTCCCGTGTCTGTTTCGGCATACCCGAGGCAAGCTTCGAACGGCGGATTATCGTTGGAAGCGTCGGAAGTAAGCGTTGCGCATCTGTTGGAACGAAATATCGTTGAGTAACTGCCGAAAGTGCGTATCTCACAGGACGGGTCGTCGAGAGTGTTGCCGGATGAGTCGCGCGTTCGTCGCGTTACGACAGTTCGTAGTTCAAATCTCCGGTGATTTACGTCGTCGGGCCGTCCCGAGCAAGTCTGCAGCGCGAATTATTGCCGGGAATGTGCCGAAGCTAGAGAATAAGTAAGTTTCGCCCATCCTCGTAGTAAAATGTCGCACAATCGTCGCGGAAGTACAGAAAGTATGCACGCATCTATGTGAAGGTAAAGGCGTATTCCGCGTAGCACAGTAGAGAGTTTTCGTCGCAATCAAATCATCAATATATTCCGGAAAGATCGTTTCGAGCATCTCCCCCAGTCAACACTAAGCATCAGAGTTACATTACATCGATAAAGATTCGTCTGTTATTGGGACAAGAGCACGTTTGCGGTTTAATAATCGTTAGGGAGACAGATCGAACAGTTACTGTTGCAGATCATTTCTCATTATTCGTCATTTTAACAAACATTTATTGCTTAAGATATAAATTACATTTGTTCTCATTTAGGTCAGCCCAGCGAGAAATAACTTGTCAATCGACGTCGAAACGATGTCGATCGACAAGTTATTTCTTACTGGGAGGTTGATAATGTTACTTCGTTAAATGAGTAAAACCTTTTCTCTCAGTGTATATACTGTAATTTCATATTCAGCAATGAATGTGATATAACACACGGTTTTATGTTATATTTGTATTGTTGAGTGCAACATTATAACATGGATGCGATGTAAATGATGTAATTGATGCACGGTGCGGACTGACTGTCGTCACTTTGGACGGCATTATATCTAACAAATGGTCGAGTCGTTGCGATCAGTGATTTCGGGCGAGCGGCGAACATCGGATCGATCATCTTGATAGTTCGAGAATTGCAAGCGCTACGAGATGCGTGCCTAAGTTCAGAGTGTAGAGCCGGCCAATATGGCGCGATCAAACAGCTGCGAGTTTCTCGCGATTCGCGCGCGAGTTATCGGGAGTGACGAGCGCCACGCGTTTCTTGCAAGGATGCGTCGTTAAGCAGTTACCAGAAACCGCGACGAACGTCGTAGTCGTCAGGAGTTGACGCAGCGGATTCGTGCGATCGTCGCGCGATGACCGTTACGAGTCACCGTGTTTTCGGACCACCAGCGGAATGATCTCGCGAATCGACGAATCGTCATCGGGAGTGCCGTGAGTGAATCCGCGCGTGTTTCGTGACGAAACGTTATGAAGTAGCCGCCGTGAGTCTCGGGGATCGAGAGGAATCGAGAGGGATCATCGGGTGTTCGTCAGGTTACGGCGTAGTTCGGGATTCATCTCGCCGTGTCTTGTGCTTTCGAACCCGGCAAAGTCAGAGTGAGTACCAGAGATTGCAGAGGTTAGCAGTATTTCTGAGATTTTGGCATGTCGAGTCGCACAGTGCGAATTCAGTTGCCTATTCTTTGCAGCTGAACTGCTTGCATTAGTGTTTTCTTTCTCTCTTTTTTACATTACGGCATAATTATATACTTATTTCTTTTTAAACTCCGAAATTTGCAGTAGTTCAGCTGCAAAGAATAGACTGTGTTCAACACAATGATGCGCATTCGAGCTCTGGCTAGCAAGCGTTTTTCTCCTTCCACTCATACACACAGCCGCTTTCTCTATTCGTGTGACGATGCTCGTTACATGGATAGACAGAGCGATTTGTATGTGTGAGTGGAGGAAGAAAAACGTTTGCTAGCCTGGGCTCGAACGCACATTGCTGATTGAACTTCGGGCAACCGCGGTGCAAGACGATTGTATTGTTTCATATCACGAGTCAAAACAAATGATCGAACAGATCGAAGCTTCCTTTCGTGGGTGAGATTAGTCTCAGACAACATTACTACTACTATCATCATCGCTCAGACGAGATATTATTAAAGACTGACGACGGTTAACAATAGTTAGAGTGATTGTTAACATTTCAATGGTTAGTTTGCAATTCAATATTAATTTTGTTGGTTATATGTGGGCAGTAATTTAACCACAGAAATATTAAGGCAGAATCCTCGTGTGTTTATATGAACTGTCGGTATAGTCGGTAATGTTAATTTGCCAATTACCGGCGAACCATTTGATAATTCGAGGACAGTGACATTATCAGCGTAGCATTTATTTCGTGATATTTATCATTTGTCCATTATATCAGTGCATTAATTACCCAAATGTTATCAGCAGCGGAATATCGCAATACATCCCATAAATAAATAAAATACTATGTACATATTTTATAAACGAATAAAATATAGTAATATTTCAAAAATGAATGAAATATCGAGTTCACACGCGTGTGATCACAAGTGATAATCACGAGAGTTTGTCAACAGTTTTCAATAATATCTCGTCGTTATATATGAGACAAAAGAGCGTTTATCTTTTGTAAACGAATGGTCGCATTCGACGTTTCCTCGAAGCAATTTTATAACGTATTAACGCCCCAATTCCATTTTACGTATCCTACACGCGCTCCATGATCACAGCTGCAATTAGCATTCTAATCTAAATCCCTCCGGGTAGGCCCCTATTCGTTGCAATTAACACGTTGTTTTCTGGATATTGTAATTTCCGAAATTTCGGCTTTCCTAAGGCGACGCCTGGCATCCGTATAAGCCGGGAACGTATGGAAAGCCCTTAATCCCAGCGAAGCATTAAGCATTCTTCAAGCCGCGCGTTATCCCGCCGAGCCCCGAAAGGGTTAAGTGACGAATAACTGTACACGGCTTACCTTAATTCCGCGGCGGTGGCCTTATAGTATATCGCGCGATTGTGCCCAAAACCGGGAAAATCCGCCAGCCCTCGCGCACGTACGTTCTCATACGTACATACGTTACATGCGTGCAAGTTCGGATGTTTATGCTGCGGGCAAAAGCAAGGCGCAACGGAAGTAACTCTTGCAGTGGCAATAAGCATGCGCTATGGTTCCCTCATGCATATTCGGCAAAGGTAAACTTTACTGCGAATTTGCCCGGCGGCTTCGCGGGCGGTAGTTTGCGCGCAACTAGCTAATTAACTATCGCGGCAAATAACTTTCGATAACCCCGATTACGCGCGAAGGGTGGTCTCGGCTTACGCGACACGTGTAATCAACCTGTCGAGCTACCCACCGCGAGGCAAGGTGGTGCTCGCGTTTGGTTTCGGATTTAGGCGCCATGGGAAGTCGGAGGGAGCGAGAGAGCAAGGGAAAAGGGCGTCTCTTTCTCTCTCTCTCTCGCTTTTTCGCATCCTCTCTTTCTCTTCCTTTCTCTCGTTATCGTTGGGCGGCGACGGGGAAAATTTTGAATAATTCCGAACGATTCGGAAAGTGCAAAACGCTTTCCAATTCAAATGCGACTTTCTCGATTCTGTCCGTGGGCGAAACTAAAAGCAGCTCTCGTCCCCCGCTAAGAGGATGTAAAGCCTGAAAATAGAAAAGCGCGAGAGAACGGCCTCGCGCGATGTAAAATGCAGATAAAATAAGAACGTTGGTTACTGCCGGTGCTCTAGGAACGTAATCCAATTACAGCGCGCCGTTCAAACAATAGAGGGGCTCTGGGGCAGTTTAATAAAAGAAATCTGAAAATAGAAAGAAACACGAGTGAAATCTGCTCGGCCGACTCGATCTTTCTTGTCGCGTTTTCTTCCCCCCGTCGTCCCTCTGCAGCAGGAGTAACAACGCAGTGACACTTTAAGAAACACGTTGCCAAGTGCATTCTAATGTGCATACAAACGAGAACGGCTGTTAAGGACGCTTGTCGGAATTAAGGAGACCATCCGGCAAAACGGTATTTTCCCCGTCGTAAGGAATAACGTTACAACCGCGCCTGTTTCTCGTGATTGCCGATGCTGCGAGCGTTTACGATTGCCGTCGTCGTGTCTCGCAGTGTCGGGGAAAGATTTCTCTACGCAGCTTACACGGAGCGTTTACGCAACGCTCGGAATTGCTCGTTTCACCGTACGTCGTGAATTATTGTCGTTACGTTGCTCGGGTAAAAAGTGTCGTGTAGAGACGATCTAGAAGGGTAGAAAAGTGAGAAGGAGAGAAAGAGGGAAAAAACATGGTGTCACGGAGTTCTATAAAAATTATATCACGTCCACTTCCTCGTCGTGAGGATGCAGAGGCGTGTACTTTTATTTACCACTGAATCTCGTGTTACATGTTTTCCTATGACGGCGTAAGCTCCTTTAGAAAAGTATCACAGCCCAACCGCGAGAGCGTTATCGAGCAGCTATTCGCTTAATTAAATTTTTACAATCCTAAGCGCACACTCCGATTCCCAGCGCTTCCCTCTTAAACTTTCGACGTGCTAGCTTGTGCGAGTTTCTTCGGCGAGTCCTTCACGGGTTGCGGGAAGAATAGCGATAGACAGAAGCATACTGCGGAAAAGAACACATAAAGGATCAAATATTGAAAAAAAATCCATATTAGAGAAAAATTCCACGTTCGCTACCACGATTTATTTGAAGGACTCTCCACACAGCCACTTCATATCTTTCCACTTTTTCTCTTACGTAATTGTATAAAATACACTTAGATCTGTATTAGAAAAAAAATACTCGATGAGTACTAATAACATATTTCTGTTTGCACAAATATAAAATATTTTTCAAATCAGAAAATATACATCTCTGAAAACTTGGAAAAAAAATCGATTATTTTTATTCTATTTAAATAAAAGAATTTGATTTGAGTGAACATGTTATATATTTGTGATAAAATTCGAGATCGAGATATGACATTAGTATCCAATAATCAGTATAAATATTTCTTATAATGAATAATCGGAATAAGTATTTCTTATTTTTTCTCTCAGTGTAGCGAACGTGTTGAAGTATTCAATCGTCACACGTGTCTCGCGTTTCTTCGTTTGCGCGCGCGAAGGAATGAAACAGCGGCACGTGGTGTCGCGCTAATCATACCGGTGAAGAGACAGCCGAGCCCGGTAAAAGCGACGATGCACTCGATGCCCAAGAGTGCGGAAAAAATCAAATTCCCCACAATAGCGGCGATATTCCCAATCGTCGCGAGGACGCTGCTGCTGGTTGCCCTGCAAAAGATTCATTTCGTCGGATGTATTTATTTCGGCTCGCGTTTCGTATTCCCCCTTTCTCACGCGTTAACAACGTATCCGACGATAAAAAGGACGAGTGGGAAATTGATCTCTCGATAAAATCCGAGACCGAGATACACGTTCGCTCTCTTTCTCGCGACCGAGCGCTCCACGTCGTTGCACATGGTACAATTAATTTCCAGGTTACGAGGGAGGAACACGAGAGAACGAGAGAGAGAGAGAGAGAGAGAGAGAGAGAGAGAGAGAGAGAGAGAGAGAGAAAGAG